ATACGTACAGTTTAACCATCTCCAATTTTTATTTTTTCTTCAATCTATTTTCAACTTTCAATCTCACCCTAGTGCTATGGTAGGAAAAGTTTGATCCTCTTTAAGTACAAATTAATAAAGGCGTTTTTCCTTTTTCTTTGTTTTCAATAGAAAATGGGCTTTGGCGAAGTTGTAAATGTAAGCATGTAAGTGGATGGAGAGTTATTTTGGCTTCTTAAATTTAGGATGCAAGTGTCAGCTTGACAAAAAAAAAAAAAATCAAGCGTTTAATACAATAGTGATTACCAGAACCCTAGGGAGTTATAAGTATTTTACCCTTTATTTTAAAAAAAAAAACTCAATAAAGAAAGGAATGAAAATTTCACAAAGATTAATTTATATGATACTGAGAAAATTTATATCCCAATACCCAACAATCCTAGAGAAGACCAGAAGAAGGCAAAGGACCAAGATAGGTCAGGACTCCTACACAAAGGAGTATAAGCAGGGAGCCTTCAAGGGATTTGTGCACCACATGTGCCAAATGAGGCTATACCACCAAAGCCACCTCGTCATAACAGAAACGAGGCTACCAAAGCTTCCATGTGCCAAGGCAATGGAGATCAGAACCCACCATCAGATAAGTCCCACAGTAAATCACATTTGGTTGGTTGATTTTGGTGATCTTCGGGAATTTAGTTAAAAATCAATTCTTGAAATCAACCCTTTTTCAGGGATCGCCATTTTTTGAAGAAACAATGTTATTTGATGTGGCATTGAATATTAACTCCAATCCAAAAATAATTGGCCCTTGAGAATCAGAGCGAAACAGACACGACAGAAATGATATCAAACAACAAAATCCATTTGGCTTTTAATAAATCACTAATTTTTGAAAATTAGGCAAGGAAGAATCGGCATCGATGCCAAACACCACCCTAAAGACCGATAAGTTACTATTGGAATACTAGAAAGAAAATCAGGAATTAAATGGCTGAAAAGTATAATCTAATCTTTTAGCTCTCCCCCCTCCCCCAAGTAATTGAGAAAAAGAAAAGCTGTGCAAGCTGTTTGTTCTGTTCCTATTCTTTTAAGCGACGTGGAAGGAGCAATCACCTTGAAACATATATACGTGAGAAGCGAGGAATGTGGCAAACAAACACATATATATATATATATATATATATATATATATATATATATATATATCCTTTTGGCTGCCACCAAATCTGCTCTAAGAATATTGTACTGACAAATTAATCTCTCCAGGATTTTTCACAGAGCAACTTTAAAAAAAGGAAACAAGAAAAGCAGTGACACATTTTTCTTAGCAGAATATCTTTATTCTTATTTCCAGTTTGTGGATTATGATAGTTTCCAAAAATCACTGGATGCTTTGACCAGGTTATGGAATGTGCCGATTCAAAAGTAAAAACCAACAGGAGACGCAAAGCACCCACCTGAACCAAGCTACAAAGTTGTTTCTCTGCTGCTCAGGCCTTGATTCTTGAGATGGGAGAGTGGAGTGAAACATTATGATGATGATGATGGAAGAACATTTGTACTGGGGTTAGCCCATATAGGTTGGTAGTCTACTTTTGGGGGGAAATATACAGTTTTTTTTTTTTTTTTATCTTTTTCTTTCTTTCCTCCTCATCCTTCCACCCCCAAAACATGGATATATGTCACAGAAATCCCTGAAAATTTAGTAGATGATGATGATATTTCATGTAACTTTACTTTTGGGGTTTCCAGTCTTTCTAGCTACTTGGTTATAGAAAATTATCTCTACTTTGCCCATCTTACGAACCACCCAAATAAATGGGGAATGTTTGGGAAAAATTGCTGGGCCTCTATGGGTTATTAGACCCTTTAATTTGGAAGAGGATCACTCAGTGATCGTACTTTCCAACCAACTGGAAAAAGGTAACAGAGAGAGAGAGAGAGAGAGAGATGGTTGTTTGAAGAAGCATTAATATTATTTTCTTCATTTATTTCGTACATGGTCGTAAAGGTTCTGAACAGTGAAGGCTGGTCATTGATATATTTGTATTGCAATAATAAGCACAACCAATGAATCTTGTGGCACATGTTGCAGCATGCTTGATTAGCATTTCTCTTTGAAAAGAAAAAGATATTAATATACAAAGCACAGCAATTGTTAGGAAGCAGATATAACATCTGATCAAAACAAAGTCACCAAATTAATTAATGGAAGAATTTGTTTACTTATGAACCATCATTAACCAAAAAAAAATCATAATTTTTTATGCCGGACGAATATAATTGCTGTATTTCTCAATCCTATCTTCGATGAATTGTAACGTTTGTGGGTAAAAAGTGAAGATGAATGGTGGTATGTCTAAGTGGATGGTACGATAAACAGTAAATTGTCTGGGGAAATTTTTGAGCTAACAAAGAAAAGAAAAGCGAAGAAAACTAAGCATGGTATGATCTAAGTGTACTTGATCGATAGATTATAATACTTTCTTATCAAATCAAAATATTTTTTTATTGCCAATTATTAGTACTCTAATGGGTTCATAATAATTAATATTGAGACAGTGAGATGATTATTGGCTCATTAAAAAAAGGATTATTCGTTTAAAAATATATAGTGCACAACGAGTGGAGGCAGATAAATCAAGTACTTTGTCAACAAATTAAAGGTAGAAGTTTTTGTTTAGGGAAGTAATATTATTTAAAGTTTTTGTATAAAAGAACTAAACTGCATACATATGATCTCATTTAGTACTGATGGAAGTTTCATATTTCTTGAGTCTCTTTATTTTTCTAATCATTTTTCTTTTTAACCCCCCAAATTTTACACCAACTGAAGGGGTAGACATATTTGAATGAACTTACTTTCACTTCTTTTAAAAAGGAAGGATTTTTCTAAAGCCATGTCATCCAATGTGAAAAAGGAGCATTTTCCCTCCTCCTTACACTCCCCATTTCCCTAAAAGGAGGGCAAAATGTTTTCATTTGATCAATTAAGTGGGGGGGGGGGGGTGTAGAAGCCCTATACTCCCCCTTTCCCCCAAAGGAAAGAAAAGTACATTAGGTTATCCAAGCTATATATATAGGACAAGTATGAAAGAGAATTATATATATATATATATAATTTTCTCTTTCATATCCTTCATACTTTATGCAAATATTGAAAACAGCAAACCTATATTCTCTCTTAACATAAACTTCAAGTGTTTGCATATTGGTCATTCTATCCTTCAAGTAAGGGAAAGATCTTTATGCTTTGAAGAACTTTAGTGATAACTTAGAAATATTCTAAGTTGCAATATTGTTTGGGGCCCAAAAGTGCCCCACATTTTCACCTGTTACCCCTCTATTCATGGGAGTTAAAGCTTAAGAGTCTTATAAGCAAAGTGTCCAAAAGAACTTTTATGTGGTAAGCCAATTATTAAATTGAAAAGTTGAAACCTTCTACAGTTGGCAAAACATCAATATAATTAAGTTGGGCATGAAGCTAAGTTGGATTGGCGGCTTGAGCAAACAATCCATCCAAAAGGCCTCCAATCCAAATCAACAGTGTGCCCTTCCACATGGAAGAAAGAGGGTGTGTTTAATTTCTAGAGAAGAACCCTAACTTAACTGATTTGGAAACCCTTTTATTTTTTAACTACAATCCCCTTTTCTATGCAAGTACATTAAGACCTCTTAGCCCACTTCCCTGGATAAAACACCAGCAAGTTTGGTCCTAGAAATAATTGTCCGTAGATTTTTACTCTTCCAGAACATCACTCCAATGGACTTTGGTCTTCCATAGGTTGATTTGGTTTGTGTACCAGACAAGTCCAATTCCTATATGAATTCATCCTACGTACTGGGATATAAATGTGGACAATTTGCAGTGTGTGTAAACCATTTATTCTTAGGTCTACTTCTTTAAGTAATGAATTTTATGAGCTTCAGTTTGTCCCTTTCCTTTTCTTTTCCTCATTGCTCACCTTACACCTCTTTTCATAATTAGCACTACAATTTACTACGATACACTTGGTGAGAAAATGTTGTCTCCGAGAAATCTGGTAAGACAAATAAACTCCAAAAGATATTGGATCCTTCTTTATTAGGGAGTGTTGTTGGGGACAAATTAAAATTGTACAAAGCATTATTATATATAGAAAGTTGTGCGTGAGCTAGATAAACTAGATATATCAGGACAAAGGTAATTAATACTAGATTAGCCAGCTATTTGTGCAATCATAGGTTATTGAATTGTATCAGTGAAAAATATTTTATTTAATCTTTTCCTTAAACTAAACATTTCTCTATTTATTCCTGTCACTGAAAATTAAGGTTCAATAGGAATGTGTCATAAATTAATTATGGTCAAGCATTCCTTTATCTTGAACATTTTACCCTGTCAATTCTCTCAAACTTTTTTCTCCTATCCCTTGGTGCCTCACTAGACACCCTTGTTTGTATGGTATTGTCTCATTTATTATGATGGTGGTGTTCAAGACTATTCACCCCCTGTTGTTGCCTTCTTTTCATATTCCCATCGCTAGTCCTCATAATTGACAAAGGTGAGCAAAGAGATATTTTATAACAAAAGCAAAAAAGCACTTTTTTGTACACACACAAGCACAGATCATAGAACTAAAACAAATGGAAACTTTTGGAAATTTTACATATACTAGCATATATATTGGGATAACCTTATTTGTTAAGTATTTCAGAATATTAAACAACACATCCCCATGTGTTTGGTATGTCCAAAGCTTAGCTTATCTTCTATCTCATGAGCATTTGATTTGCATGGGAAAACACATGTAGACTTTAAGATAGGCTGTGCTCAAACCTTAGGAAATGCATGCCTTAAATCTCATCCATGCATGAAATTTGCAAAGTATAATTCTGATGGTATTTATGCTTCAGAAAATTATCATTATTAATATTTTTCCTTAACCAGTTAAGCCTAGACTATCGAAAAGAAAGCAAGCATAGTTATGACTTGTTTAGTCATTTCCTTCATGTAACTGGAAGGTGCAAGCCAAAGATTGATGGGGAAATTAAAACGAACTAGTTTACTTCAACATAAACAAATATTATGTCTTAATCAACTTAAAACACACAAACAAGGAAGATTAAGTTTTAATCTCCTTATACAACATATAAGATACTTGGCAGAATCAAGGCTCCATTTACTTATAACACTTGGTTATGGCTAGAAAAGGGAAATTGTGAACAATCTATCATTTGTTCAATATCGCTGCTGCCTTTGTCATTAGATGCCTATCTGATCCCTGTATATATGAAATACAATTACATTAGCTCAACATTAACTGAAGATAATTAATGTTACTTGCAGAACAGCAGGAGGTATACTGTTAATGAATGAAATAACCAAACTGCCTAATGCAAGAAATATATTTGGGTGCTAGAAATATTTGGACATAAACTAGGGTACTAACTAAATGGTTGCTCAAAAGCATTTCAGACAATTTGGATGCATGAGTTGCATATATTGAGGAGCATCTTTAATTATGACTGAATTTACATTCCTTTCACGGAAACTCATTTAGTAGCATTGAAATCAACACAAAGAAATAAAAAAAAAAGCAGTAGTTTTCAAAAAAAAAATCATAAACATGTCTAAAGAGGGTCGAAGAGAAAAAAAAAATTAAATATATAGCAAAAACTTTTCTTCCTATAAAAATCAGCTATAACTCCTATAAGAAAGATGGTAAAAAAGAATATGAAAGTTTTCCTTCTCCCATAGGCCCAAACTAAATGAGGGGGAGTTCTTGTTTCCTATGAGAAATAAATTAGGAAATACAGAAGTTTAATTTCTTAGTTCAGTAGAGAAAATCATATTGTTACCTCATCCAGTTTAGCTTGGTTTTTGTTCTCCAACATCAACCCAAAATGAATATGAGGGAAATGTGCCCACTGGAAAAAAAAAAAAAAACAAAGATTAATTATGACTTAGAAATCAGCCCAAAATGATCAATCTATCTAAATCTAAATTTAACAAATGAGTTTCTTGGCTTAGGTTAAATACATAGTGAATTAATAATTAAGGTGCAGTCCACCCATTTGGACTCTTTGCATTATTCATAACATGTATCAGAAACAGTTTAATTAGTTGTGTTGCCTACTGACATTTTTTGCTGCAGTGCTGAATGCTTCCCTGTGGCTGATTTCTGGATTATTAGCCTTGATCCTCTGAATCTCTTCTCTGTGAACCATATTTGATAAAAACAATTGAGTAACTGCAGGAGCTATTACCACTAAAGGTGTGGGAAAAATTGAAGAGCTAGCAATAGCGCTGTTTCATTACTTTATGAACTGATTATATGCGGATGGTACTCGCTGCCTCTTTTCTGCTGCTGCATAGTATAGGGAAATTATAGTGATAAAGAGTGGTCCAGAATACCCCAATTTGGAACCGATATGTATTAAACACGCATAAATGGACAAGCGGAAATGAGCTACTACACAACTTACGGCGATTTACAATCCTTTGCTCGCTATTGGCAGGTGGTGGTGGTCTCATCGCAACCTTGTTGCATTTTGAAGAGGATCCCAGGTCAATCCTGTAGTCCGGAGAAGTGAAACTTGGTGTCTGGAGATGATCGGAAGAATAATGATCAGGTTTTGTTCACAGTGAATAACTTAATATGGCGAATAGAATTGTGTGCGTGTGCGTGTGCGTGTGCGCGTGTGTGTCTGCGTCTGCGTCTGCGTCAGAGAGAGAGACGAAACAGTGAGAAAACTCTCATGATCTGTTATGAGAATTAAAAGAAAAAGAAAAAGAAAAGAAAAACTGGTTGGATGTGAGGTGAGGTGACTGAATCAGTTAGAATCATGTCTTATCGTGAACAAAAAAACCCCAGACGATTGACAGTTGGGTCGAGGAGATTTGAAGGTTTCTCAAAATGCAGGTGTGTCTCTGCCGTAGAGGACAAAGCTGCTATAAAGGAAGCCGCATGGGCATGACCTCCGACTCCGAGGAGATTAATGGTTTTGATCAGATTAAGGGCTAATAAAAAGTGGGTGGTCGAAAGAAAACCCTGAAAATGGCTTTTCCTTGGCGGGCCAAGTCAGGACCTGACTAAAATCCATCTGCGGCCGAAAATTCACGCAACAAAAAGCAAAAATAGGTTTGGTAATGGCGGCTGCTAGGTTCACAGTCGCGAGCGGCAGCCCAAGAATAACTTCGAAAGACTCGATAAACAGGCCTGAGCCAGAAGGTTCACTTTCATCAAAAGAAGAAATCCCAGAAACCCTAGTTTTCAGAAGCTAAAGTCGTAGACGGATAGATACAGATCACCGCCCTTAAAACAAGCCGGGAAGAAACTAATAAGTATGTTTCACCTGGAGATCTTGCCACGACAGCGACTGCAGCGCCGCTGCCATGTTCACTGACCAAAGGTTAGTGCAATGACCGCATCGAACGGTCACGATGTCGAACAAGCTGCTGCATGGAACGCTCACCTGCAAAAGCAAAACCGGATTTCAAACAAAACGACTAAAGAAAGAGGAACCCACATCATAAAAATGATTTCAGACCTCCATATCTTCTCTTCTCATCAAAGGACTCTGTAAAGTGGAAAAACACTGAAATTGGTTTTCCAGGTTGTCAAAAGAAGATCAGAGAAAGAGCCAACTCTAGCTAGTATTATTTCATTGAAGTAAAACATCAAATTTTCTCGAAATATTAATCTATCTGGTGTTTTGTTAAAACAAAAAAGAAACCCATTGAGAATAATATCAATAAACCAGTATAAATCAGCTTAAAAACCTCCTAATGAGGATTGGATTCGAAGAAAACCCAAGTGATCATCAATCTTTTCTGGTCTCCCTGGTATCATTCTCCTAAGGAAAGGCTACAACACAGGATGAAGAAATCAAAGAGCACAGGAGGAGTTGTCATCGTCAGTTCATCATCATTAAATTCTTGTTTTTCTAACATTAAAATAAAAAAGCATTTTAGGGTATCAACTATATATCTTTCAACACGTAGTCATTCACACCCTCTCGTCTCGTCTCGTCTCGTCTTTAGCACAACAGGTATGACTTTTGTTTGACAGCAAAAGAAGAAGAAAAAGGAAAGTCTTGACGATGGAGACCTGTCTGCTAAACAAATACAAGAGCCCACGGAAGAATTATAAAATATTTAAAAATAATAAAAACCCAGATCCCAGAGGCAAGGACTTGAGCCTTTTCTTCAGGACCCAAGATAGGTCTTTTCATGTTGTTAACAGAAAAAAAGAAAGAAAAAACTATTTATTAGTTGGTGGAAATATTGAAAAGCAAAACTCGTGAATGAGTTTTCAGATCAGATACCGCTAGAATGATGTTGCAAAAGTTGCAAGGGATGTAGCAGACTTGCTCAGACTGAAGATTGATGCAGGTCGACATAGACATATCTCTTGGGACGGAATTCTTAGCTCCCGAACACAAGAAGAAGGAAGTAGTGAAACAGAAGAAGAGAAATTAAAGGAAAAGAAGACGATAATGATGATGATGCCTCTTTCAGCCAGCAATAGTAGGAGAAAGAGCTTTTTCTGTTAGCTCCTCCTGGTTTTGAAGCCCGAACGATCGATTTCAACTGTTAAATTGATATATAAATAGACTAGAGAAAGGCAGAGGGAATGAAGGAAAAATAAAAATAAAAAAGTGGGTGAGAGTTAAAAGAGAAAAGAAAAAGATAGAGAGATAGGATCCAAAGCGGGAACACCAATGATCTGAGCTGTGGAGGTCTAGAGGGAAAACCATATTTATAAAAAAAAGAAAAAAAAAAAAGAGTGGTTTTAGGGTACAAATTGCCAGCTTCTGTAGTGCCCTCCAGTGTCAAGGGTAGCCATAACTGTGGGTCCGGAGTAGGGTAAGAAAGCTTTAACCGGGTTTTAAGGGCTACCAGAAAGCGGTTTGGGGAAGAAAAGCGGTTTCCAACAACAGCTTTTCACTAGGTTAGGGTTTCAGAAGGGGGGGAAGGTTTTGGCCGTATTCCCATACACGACCAACCAAATAAAGTCTATTATGAAGAAATGAGTGCGACCGTTCCCCCCAGCCACCATCCCCCTACCCCCACTGCGGACGAGGGGGGCGAGCGAAATCAACATCTGTGAAACTGGAAAATTTTTTTCTCTCTGTATATTTTAAGTAACTAGAAAAGAGAGTTGATTGAGTTGCAGTCCGAAATATCGAAGATGACAAAAGCAATAAAAAGGCCATGGAGAGATCAAAGAACAGCAAAAAAATTTGAGAAAAACCAAAGATTATCATCAGGAACTCAGGATCTCTTCTTTGTCGGCTAAGCCGACCTGACGAGTGGGCTGAGCGTGCAAGTTCGGCTTCTGTCCTTTTCCATGTTTGAGAGATAATAAATTTCCATGAAAATACAGCCACATGGCAGGAAAACCAAGCCGGTGGCTTCACCCAGGAATTGCCCCAAGAGAATCCCTACACTTTTTAATGAAACGAAGGTGGTCCTAGATATCATCTATGGTCGATTTTTAATATCAACTACTTACTGGTTGCAAGTACACGGATTTCAGCTTTCAATCAAATCTTTTTTTTCATTTAGACCTTATTATGGTTAACTACTTGAATGCTGAGACTTATAACAATTTACTTGTACCACCCAAAATAGTAATAAGCCACCTTATGGCACCCGAAAATATAAACAAGCTAGATCTTGCTCTTCTCTGCTTTATATGATTTCACATATACTGGTATCAGTGATTTATTTGTATTGTACATTATCTAAAAGTTTTATGAACTTCCTTATCATCGTTCTCTCTGTCATTATCATACTACTGCTACAAGTACTTGTAAATAGTTGTTAATCCATTTCGTCAAAGATGCCAACTCGCACAGTTTTGAGGAATTTACTCAGTTCCTTACTGTATACGTTTTTAATACCCCATTGCTCATCTTAATTGATGTTTCTCTTTATTTTCTTTCCTTCATGGTTGCCTTCTTGAGCAATACCAATTTATTTTATTTTTCTCATACTTTAGAAAGACAAACACGCAGATGCACGAATTCATCACATACACAGAGAACCCACAAATGATAAATAAATTTTATTGACTTAATAAGAGAACAAATTAAAAGCATCCATCACCACCAGCAAGGAGGAGACCCAACTCTGAAATAATATCTAAATTTCGATTAATGGTGAGGCAAGTAAAACATGGATTGCCGATGCTGTAGGGCGTTGAAGTAGGCACACTTTAGAGTTTTGACAGATACCGGACAGTCACTGTGGACATGGATTGTCTACCTCCCTTGTTTAAAACGATGAATGGTTATTTATCAAGTACTTAGGCCTGTATTTTTTAATTAGTGTACATGTGTGTTTCAAGTTCAACAGAAAAAAAAATAGTATAATACTACATGGACAAGAAACAATTAATCTGTATCAAAGCCTTTTCTTAAATTTCTTCTTGGTTAATTAGACAGACTATGTAGTAAACAATCTGTATCAGAGCCATTCTGTACTAGCTCTGGTCTTCAACTTCCCCAAAGGGTTCATATATTTTTTAATAGAAGTGTGGTTAGTACATTTTCTTCACTACATTCTTTCATTCTCAACCTCCACAGGATACTTGTGTACTTCCATAGAAGATTCAAACTCTCACCGAGTCAATGGACCTTGTTCCACCACTGTTTAATTACAAGTTCACTAACTTTCTAACTACCATGCACAGTAATAAATACTCAAATTGTACTTAAATCTACAATAATTAATCCTCCAAAAGGATAATTTTATACGTGATTTGGTGCAAGTTGAAGGCTATATAAAGGTGCAAGAGAAGGCCAAAAGGAAAAAAGGGTTCAAATTATAGGAAGATTTGACAAGCCATTTTAATTTTTAATAAAATTGTGGCACTAAAGGGAAAAGATTCAGAAATGTGATGACCACATATAATTGAGATACATAAGACAAATGATAATATATAAGAATGATAATTAATAGTCGTATGTAAGTACATTTTCTTTTCTGTATTGGATGATATCTTTTCCAAATTAATTATAAGAATAATAATTAAATAATCTCTGTTTCTACTTATGAATACCTCATATTTGGATTTTCAGTACTGTTTTAGGGTGCATTTGTCAGGATATGAATGCTACATTGTCTCATTCTCTTTCTTTCATTTTGCATTTGATGTCACATTTGTGCTACCACTTGGCCCGGGTTTTCTTCACACAATTTTTGGATCATTGTATATTTGGGTGCCACATATATAAATGTAATAGTTTCAGGTTTATCTTAATATGTGAAAACCACAAGGAGAAAGAATCATCATAAGAGACAAAAGGATTTACTGCTAGAAATAGAAGAAATTAATATAGCAATATTTATAATTAAGATGTAAGAAATGATCTAATATATTCAGAGAGTGCATTCAGTTCTTAACCCATACAAAGACTTTAAGGCTTGAGAGAGAGAGAGAGAGAGAGAGAGAGGCATTCAATATAATTGATGACCCCATACAAAGGCCTTCTGGGAACCTGTGTAAAGCTCGAACTTGTTAGAACAGGTAATGTCTGTCACTCAGGTAGGTATAGATATTTAAAGGTGAGTATATACATATAAGTATGTGGGGTGGGTGGGCACGGGACTTGCCCTGTTTTCCAATGATCTTCCCAAGGCCGAGAAAAGATTTTGAGTATATATATTACATATAAGTATATTACATTCTCTTTCTCTCATCCATGCAGGAATGATTGCCAGAGGCATCTCCTCCCTTCTCTTCCCCCCTTCCCCATGTCATTATTGTCATTCATTGCTCATCACTTCCTTGGTTGACCATTTTCCCAAACATCTCTCTTCTCTCTTTCCTTTGTTTAATTTAAATAAAAACAAATAAAATTAATATTTTATTAGAATATTTTTTGGATTGGAGTACTAGCAATTAATTTCTTCTTTTCATGAGACCTAGATTGGAGTAGCTGTCTCCATCTGCATGTCTGATGTACGTAGGACAGCAGGTATAGGCTGCAATCACGTACTCAGTGAATGTGTTTCTCTGTAAGGAGATTGATTCGTTACTCGTTAGGTCGCCACAGCCCACAGCCCACAGCCTACACCTCTTGTTAGTGGCGGGTCCGTGATTAAATTATCAATTTGGAGCTTTGTAACTCTGCAAGTTTCACTGTGGTGGTGAAGTTGTGGTTCTACCTCCAACTATAACCTGCCACAATCTAAGTAATCAATATACGGGCAGTTGGTTTTTTCTTTTTTTTTTTTCTTTTTTGGTAGAAAAAGTGTGCTATTAAAATAATTCAAAACCCAACAGTAGCCAGCTCAGGCTAAGATAATTACAATATAAATTAAGGCAAAAGGGGTCAACTATGATACCGAAAAAATAACAGCCAACTAGACCTGTTCATGGGCCGGGCCGGGCTCGGGCCGGGCTTTCACTTATCACTAATGAAAATATACTAGGCCCGAGCCCAAGCCTGGCCCAACCAACGGGCCTATAACTTGGGCCCGAGCCCGAGCCTGGCCCGACCAACGGGCCTATAACTTGGGCCCGAGCCCGGCCCTAGTAAAAAGCCCAAAACCCGAGTCTGAGCCCGAAGCCCGACCTAATTGAAAAAAAAACAATTTTCCCTATTCAAATTATAATTAAAAATTCAGATAGTATTTTTTTTTTTCTATTTAAATGAACAATGGGCCTACAAGATGGTATTTTTCTCTTTATTTTATATTTTAAAACACAATTTTACATTCTTAAATCAAAAGATTTATTCAAATGAACATAATCACATAACTAATTTTAAGTTTAATATTAGGTCGGGTCGGGCCGGGCTATTTTGACAAAACCCGAGCCCGGCTCAAATTTATTGCAGGTCGAGCTTTTTGGCCCAAATTTAAGCCCACGGGCCTATAAACATGTTCAAACCCGTCTGGGGGTCGGGCCAGCCCGTCGGGCCACCCGGCCCATGAACAGGTCTACAGCCAACCATCAAGTGGTATTTATCAAAATTTATCTGGTGTTTTAATTGATAAAAGCTCTTTTAGTATTGTCTTCCCACTATTATAGATATTTTTCAAGGTAAGGTTTGATTATGATTGATTAAACGTAATGGTAAGTACATTTTGTTAATGTACATGAAAATACATTTTGTGAAAAGTGAATCAATGAAAAATAAGAAGACTTTAACATAATTGATTTTGGTTGAGATATGGATTTAACGTGTAAGCAATATTAGTGAATGCATATATTTTCCTTAAGGCAAGGGTTTGATTATGATTGGTTAAATGTAAAGATAAGTACAACTTGTTAATTTACATGAATCTACACTTTGTAGAAAGTGAATCAATGAAAAATAAGCAGATTTTAATATCATTGGTTGAGACATGGATTTCACATGCAACCAACATTAGTGAATGCATCATAGTTGAATTGATTAAGTTAATCAAATCTATTTTTCTTGCAAAAATAACTAAGAAACCTGCAAGTAATAAATTCCTGAAGGTTAGTTAGCCTATTAGTTTTCATATCCTTTATATATAATTCCTATAGGAATGTTGCAATGTTTTCACATCCTAATTCTAAGTTTGTTTTGGAATTTTTTTCATATTAAAATCTTATTGGGATCTAATGAACAAATCCCTTCTATTAATTTAGACAAGGTTTTGGCCCTGCTACTTAAAAGAATCAATGGTATATGACTGTTGTAAAAGAAAAAGAAGTACAAAGATGGCTGTGAAGGAATAAACATTGGAAAGGAATTATTTCCAAGGTTCATCAATGGAGATC